AAACAGGGCGACGACACCCGTAACGACTTTCTCCATCTGATTCGCGATGATGTTACCAAATTGCCAACTTGGGTTCGCGTATTTACCACTAGTCGCCCCGAACTGGATATCTATGAAACCTTGAAAGGAGTCAATTCGTCAGTTCTGTTAGCAAACGATGAAAAGAACATTCAAGATATTCGCGTATTTGTTCAGCATCAACTTTCAAAGCAGTTTTTGGTTCATGACACAGTATCAACGTCGAATGAGCAAATGATGCAGCTTGTGAACCACATAACGGAAAAGTCTGGTGGTGTCTTTCACTATGCACGTCTTGCTTGTAATACATTGACAGACAGAGCTTATAGTACTTGGGATGAAGCATTTGAGGTGGCGCGTGGGTTTGATGGTGGTCTTGACCAGATTTATTTACAGGTTCTGCAAAAGGTGTTTGGTGATGTGGATGCAGCTGTGTGTGAGAGGTTTCGGTTGGTTATGGGTGCGATTATTACTGCTATGGAACCATTGAATCAGAATTCAATTGCTAGAATGGTTGGATTGACTCTAGTTGAAGTTGGTGGGATTATTTTACAGGTAATTATTGGGGGTTATTTATCCGCCTTTCTTTGTTTGCTTTTCAGATGATTTAGTTTACTAATTTTGCTTGTAAGGTTCAATCTATTTTAAATATTAGTGACGGTACCGTCAAAGTCCTCCATAAGAGTTTGAAAGACTTCCTCACGTCTCCGGAACGCTGCACCAACCCTCTGTTTTATATCAACATCGAAACCTTCCAAGCCATCATGGCCCATTCATCGGTCCAAGTCATGATTGCCGATTTAACATACAACATGGCAAATCTCAAAAGCCACACTATCCCGTTACCTACTTCAAGTTCAAATCACATCAACCCCTGTCTTGCTTACGCTTGCAGATATTGGGCATTACACCTTGTAGCTTCAAACGATAACGCTATCCTTCTGCCACTTGCATTGTTTTGTTCGAAATCATTACTGTTTTGGATGGAAGCTATGGTGCTTTTGAATGACTTTTCAAATGAAATGGGGAACCAAACACGGCTTGTGGCAAGTTGGATTGCAGAGGGAAACCGTGGAAAGAGGTACAAGACTGCGCAGATACTGTTGGAAGATGCGGCAAGGTTTATATGGCGATTTGAAGAGGCTATTTCGTACAACCCACTGCAGATCTATGTGGTTGGAATCACGTTCAGTCCTCAAGAAACAAAGCTTTATCAAACCTATGGACCCATCTACGCATCAAAATCAGTCAACTTATGTCCTCCTGAATTTGAATGGGGTTTGCATTTGAAATATTTCCTGGGAGGTTCTGAACCCGGCACAATTCGGACGGCTTGTTTCTCACGAGATGGAGATAAACTATTAATATCATCTAATGATAACACAGTACGTGTTTGGGACGTTGGTAGTGGCAAAGTACTATCTAGAATTGCCACTTCGCGCAACTTCCGTTGTCTCTCAACTGATGGCCAAATGATGGCAACTTCAGATGGTGTTTACAATGCAAACACTGGCTCACAACTCAAGATGTTCAAAATTGAATATTATCAAATTCGTTCAATGTTATTTTCACCTGATTCGAGCAAAGTGGCAATTGCTGTTGCGGATGCTGTTTCAATTTTTGATGCAGAAACTGGAGAATTGCTGACAAACACATGGCGCAACATTAGTCTTCCAAATGTGCAATCCATATGTTTTTCACCAAACGGGTTAGAACTCGCGATCGGCTGTCTTAACAAGTTGTGCATTTTGAAGATTGAAGGTGATCAACTACGCTCATCAATGCAGTCTACTGGTGCCACTCCTTCCATTCAATATTCATACGATGGTAGCTTAATTGTGTCTTGTTCTTCTGACCGGTCTATCAGAGTTTGGGAGTCAG